TATTGTATTTGGGCTAGGGGGGCAAAGCCGTTAAATGCAAGGTGAAGTGAACACTGAGTTGTTCTATGGACTGTTTGGCCATTTAGCAGTTCCCATGCCACCACTTGCAACAACTATCCCATTTACTTTATCTATTCAGCAGCCGCTGCCATGCACTTTTTACGACCACAAACCAAACACCACTCTCTATGTTCCCTATATTCACTATCCAGAGCATTCCTGTCACCAAGCTTCCTTACGAGATACTTTACGTCTTCAATAATAATTGGAGGGATTAACTCACCTTCTTTTATACCATTGTTTGTGCAAAATTAGAAATTGATGCTAAACAATATTTTTTAACCTCTGAACACGACATATCTTTAAAAATTAGATGTTAAAGGCTAGTGTACCACTGGAAATGCTTGCAGCCTTTGAAAATGCTTATTTTAAACAAACTAGTAACTTGAATTCACTTAATACCTCACAGTTACGTCAAACGGCCACGTATACTGCAGACGTATGCGTCAGAATTTGCGTATTTAGTGACAACTGCCACTAAAATGACTGCCATTTGATTAGGGTCATCGATTATATGCAGATGGGCCAGTTAGTTACTTAAAATGCCCATCTTTGTCGTCCGCTCCCATCTAGTAATTGCACACATCGAAAGCTCCAGACAGCCCATGCAATTGTACCAATTGTACCACAGGATCATCGGCAGATGCAACCAGCTCATCATCATTGACTTAGGATCGACATTGTATTCTTGGTATCGGTGAGTGATCATATGGAGGTATGTAGACAGGTGGTTAAGTGCCTGTGTGAATCCAACGCAAATTAACTATGCTCCCGATTGTGTTTGTTGGATATTGAACTTAGCTTCATGTGCCTTTAGCCATGGGATACTCAGAGTGATTATCAATGTTAAATCCAGATTAAGTTATCATTCCATCACGTCTAGTCGCATCTCTCGTATCCAGTCGGGAGTAAATATGAGGTTGCAGCGACAAAAACTTGAAAGTTGTAGAAGTGCCCAACATAGAGCTGATGGTCGAAAGACCGAGAACATTTCATTTTAAACATACCACCAAGATAAATGGCAGAATTTACGGCTTCAGAAAAGGAGGAATCGAAGCATGTCTACCCACATGGGTAATATATGTTGATCGAGCACCGGCTGCACCAGCTGCACGAGCGTACAAAGGAGATGGCCGTAAGAAACCTAAAAGCCACCAATCAAGGAAAAATGGGCTGTCTGTAGATCGCTCTAGGTTAACTTGAACCCACCAAAGCATCTGTTTCTAAACCAACAGTTTTGCCAGCATTTTTAGTCTTCAAGTAGATTTTCTTCAATCCTCTGTGGGAACACATGATATCTAACGTCTGGTCACTGTTGTCGGTGATAATAGAGGTTGCGTCCAGTTGTTGCGACATAAGCCATGTGATTCAAGCAACATCACTATCTGCTTTAAGAGTCCATTTGAAGAGATTCGGCCCTTAGTATTTGCGGTAAAGGACAATTCTGCAGTAAACATTATCGAGTTGAGGTCGCCACAGGGGTGTATCCCCTTAAAGCTAAGATATTTAAAGGGCTTTAAGTGGTACCTGCTCCTTTCTATGACTGTCAAAGTCTTCCATTAATGTTTGCATTGTAATCTACCAATCTCGGCCAGAAAACAATTTTTCTGCCAATGGACGATTTTCGTCAAATAATCGGGGTGTCTCTGATCACAGTGACTTAACAACAAACTCGGTAAAAAATAATGATGCCTTTGGCTATGTACGGTGAGTTTTCAGACTAACCTCGAATGTCTTATTGACTTACCTACTACAAGTTTGCTAAAAAAATCTTTTTATCCTTAATAAAACATTCAATTTGCCCTGCATGAACATTACTAGCCACAAGAATTCCTTTAAAAATCCCTCAAAGTCAGTTCTCGAGGTAGTAAAGATGGCATCGTTCACCTTACAGCCATTAGACTCAAGTCCAAATCAACCACGGGATCCTTGGTCATGCATGTGACTGGCCTGCATCGATAACAGACCATTTCTTATCGATCGGTAGCAGAAAGTGCGGTTTAGGGTTAATCCTCGTGTCAGCTCATATTGCTTTTGCTGAAGCTAGTACAAATACTTTGCGGAGTGTTCAACTCAGAGAGAGAGAAATTTAGATTACCTTACACATCATTTATCCGCACCCTTACCTGTGTCGACTCAATGGTGCGATTGTTGATCGTGTTGGCATTCGTGCGGACAAAACACAAAATTCAGCCCATACTCACGCCTTCAACGTGACAATGGAGTGGATTACCTACTTTTGGTACACATCCATCAAGCCTCTTCTGCAACTTAATGACAGTTTAAACGTCCATCAGGAGCGACAACGATCTGACAGACATTCTACTTGTGGGGTAAATGCCAAGACTCTTGATTGGAAGAGACGCCACTATAAAAGGATTGTCACCGACAAGAGTACGTCCATTTTTGGTACGTTCGCATCTGCAACTGTTATACCGCAGCTGAGCCTCCCATCATGACAGTGGGCCTAGAGTCCAGTGTGGGGACAGATTTCTACAAGTGTTACATCTTTGTTCACCACACGCCATTGCATCCACGCAGGCACTTCCTCAGTTGTTTGCACCCTTGAAAAATGGTCTTCGGACTAAATACGACTTGGTACCTGTGCACATCAGCCATTTTATTCGGCTAGGCTTGTGTCCTCCTACCACGTAAATTGACGCCACGGTGAAATTTCCACTTTAAACTGTGTTGTAAAAAGTCCCTTTCTCTGAATTTTTGTATAGTGATCAATTGCAGGGAGGGGAAACTGTCACTTTCTACAGGAAACTTGGCTGCCTTGATAAAATGCCAAATACACACGACACAAATTATGCCAACAATTTACATAAACTTCTTTTATTTACAGAGTGGAATCGAGTGAGAGGTCAAAAGGAAAAAAGTTTCGGACCCCTTCCATAATTTTTTTCAAGACGAGGCTTTGCAAGATCGCATTACCTGGAACGCAGGTTTCAAGATAAAATGCTGATCTCCAGTTAATCAGTAATTGCTTTCTGATCTAACAGCTGATCCATCTGAAATCAACCAATAAATCTGTTCGAGATTAATTAAGACCTCAATGCCAAATCGGAAGTATACTTGAAGACCAAAAGTGTTAGCAAAACTGTTGGTATTCAAACAGATGCGGATGGCCAAATATGGTCATTGATGAGTCCAAGCTTACTAACATATCTTCATTCGTTCATGCGACTGGACTGCATATGTCGACCTATTGCCCATTTCTCCTCTTTTGCAGTTTTTTTTTTACGACAATTTCTCCCGTAGGCTCATGCTGCTGCCGCTGCTTGGTCAACGTGCATGCCCATGTGCGCGTCTGCCGCCATGAATTTTATAACCATCTTAGTAGTATGGTCGAAAAACGGTTCACTGGCATTTCATTGTTCGATTACATAGTTATTCCTTCCGCAGCGCTCCTGCGTTGTGTCGCCGTAGCAAAACACGAAAGTGATGAGACGGTATGGAGAGGAATGATAAGCAGGGCTAGATGTATCTTTGATTAGTCTTTTAGTGTGAACGTTCTTCAGGTTAAGTTCTATGGGGTATGGTTTCCAAGTATTGTAAACGCATCTACCCGCTTACTGACAGCTCGATTAAGATGTAGCACCTGAGTTAGCATAGAAGACGTAGTATAAAAAATCAGCGTAGATTGTGTCCTGGTTATTAAGGCTCACAATGGCTGGCCGGTTTATGACATTAATGGAGCTCCAAAAAAACCGGTACAAAGCACAGTGACTAAATTCCTCACGTCGCTAAATAAAAAAAAAAACATTTTTTAAAATTGTCTTTAATATCCTACTAAATGAGAGAAGATAACCTATAAATAAATGCAAACTGCGGCGCAAATAAGCAAGGACCGCGGACTGTTGAAGACAACTGCCATCCCACCAGCAAGAAGACCATAGCTACATTCCAAAATGTGGAATATTATTCGCCACTTACAATTCTTCTGCACAACGTTAGCAGTAACAATCTGTCCTGCTGTCAGCAGTCAGTTGAGACAACATGAGATGTGTAGGATGAAGGTTTTGCAAGCAAGAGGAGGAAATTTGCACCACTAGTGTAGCACAACTAATGTGGTTTGCGTGGTAAAGCTTGGGGTGAAGCTGGAGAGGAATGAGTAGTTGGTTTGGTTATTTACATGGCGTCCGGACATCTTTTAAATGGCCAAGGAGACGAAAGGCCTACTTCTTCTTAATCAATCAAATCCTATCCATTACGAAGGTTTCGTGTTCAGAAAGTGTAACGTTAAATAAGGATTTGTAACTGCCGTAGTCGAAATGTTCGCGGCAGTGAGGAAAAAAAACTTTAAAGCCGCCACAGTGGAGCACATTAGCACACATATTTGGACACCTAGCCTGAATTTACAAGTCATTATTACAGACGTGTTTCAAATGCAGCCAGCTAGCATGTCTTTGGGGGTGAGTTGTCATGGCAAGTGAAAAAATACATTGCAGAGGAAGTGGTACCTTGCCGAGGTGCACCAATGAAATAGAAAATGGTAGTTTCCCCTAATCACTCACTGATCAAGGCTTTCGTCAGAAGTTCTTAATTAAGGGATCACAGCTCCTCCTTCTACTTTGCAAATTAGTCAATTTATCAAAATTGTCATGTCGCAAAGAAGATCAGTTCGTAAAAGCCGAGGACTTGCCATTGCAATACATTTACCCCTACGCCACGCGGCAAATGCGCGGTTTGTGCGTGCAGTTCAAAGCCATTGTCATGACATGACACGCTTGACATAACACAATGCATCACGATATGAGAAGGTGAAGTATAGTGAGGGAACTAGGAGAATGCAAAACAGTTTTGTTGTCTTGTCTTTATAGTGAAACAATTGTCATCTTAACAATTAATTAAAGGCCATTTTCATTTGCTTCATTTTACGGACTGTGCAGTCGTTTTCACCTCTCTGCGTCAAATTGCATGCCAGTTAGGCAAAACCACAAGCTTGTCAGATCCCATAAAATACTACCTTCAATGTTTGTGTGAAAAGTAGAGGTTCCATGGTCGAGAAACAGTTTTGAAGAGGCCTTATTATACTGACTCATCTAGGTCAAATAGAGTCGCAAGTTTATTCAAGGGTGATTGTAGACCTCAGCCAATAAATGCTGCTTCTCGGTCTTCCTTTTTTGCCCCTCTTACAAATTTTGACCAATATTTAAACCGCTTCTACACGTCATAATTTATCATTGTGGCTCTATCGTCCCAAAAAAGCCTTCTTAACTTCTGTCGGAGCTAAAGCGCTGCTTTTTGCATGCATCTGCCTCTTTGATGTTCGTTTGAAAATCAAAGTAGAATCATGTGCCCAAGTTTATATCGCTTGTTTCCATGCCATTCTAAATATTCTTTCTTTCATCCTCATCTTAGTAAGCTGGCTTTGCGATAAAGTTGAAGAATCCCCTTAATGCTAAAGAGGGCAATTTAGACCCAAATCACGGAGACGTAATCCACATGTTGGTATATTAATAATTGTCATACATATCGACTATCGCCTACCCATTTACATTTCATTAGATGACGTAACCCCTACTGTAAAAAATTGTGAATCCTACCCCAAATAAACAGGACTGCACTATGTCAAGGACAACCGTCATCGCTTGAACATGAAGGTCATAACTACATTTTAGAGTGTCAATTACTATGGGTAGCACACTAGCTCACTTCACAGTTAACTGCTGTGTGGGCGTGCAAGAGACCGAAGGAAGGCAGGTCGTAGCACTCAAGTAACAAGGCCTACGTTGCTTGTGCGGTAAGGCCCAGAGTGAAGCTAGAGAGGAGTGCGTCAAGACATTTATTGATGCCTGAGGGGATAGGAGACCTACTTCCCAACCGGGCGATCCATTCAACACGCATACCTGTAAAGTCAAACGAGGACTCATAAAGGAGCAAAACGAAACACTCACGGCAGAAAAGCACGCATCTTTGAAAGCCACCATGGGTGGGGCAAGAGATCACCCGGATTCGGACGTCCCAACTGAAATCATGAGTCTTGGTTGAAAACGTGTTTCAGATGCATCCACTATATACATCTTCAAATGGTAAAATGCATTAGAGAATGACTGCTCCATTACCGAGATATATTAGTAAGAGAGCAAAGTGATGGCTTCGTCTAACCACCCACCAGATTAGCATTCCCTAAAGAGCTTTTAATAGAGGGATCACATTACTACCTTTTTCTCGGCATCCAATCTGACCAGTGCAACGAAGACGAATCAACAGCTTGGTCGAAATCGTCAAGTCACGGGAGGAAGAAATGCATGAAAGTAGAGAATTTGCCGTTACGCTACATGTACTACTGAATGTTAAAAATCCGTGAGATTTGTGTGTATAACTTAAAGCCTTCTTATCCAAACCTCGATAAGTGGCACGAAGGTGGGTGTCATCATCGGCAAAGACGATGATGAGCGTGATTGAGAGAGGGGAAGGAGATAATCCTCCTCGTGATTGTCTTTTTATTAGCCAATCATCTTTTCAAATTTTGTGCAATTGAAGTAAAATGGAAACTGGAAGGTATTCTCGTAATGTGATCGACATGGTGACTAGGTCTTAGGTCTTAAATACTAAAACATCAACAGCACAGCAAATTCCAATGCCTTTGTTTCGGTTCACTAGATCGCAAGTTAATTGCCTATATCGAAGGCCACTTTAGCTACTGCTTAAATGTAAGTCTTGGTAAAGATACGAAGCCCCTTCGTCATGCAACATCTCATAGCCTTGACCGCTCCATTCCATTGCCGGGCACAATTTGTCCACAATTCGTTCTGCCGCTAGGCGAATTCATAAAACAAATGTAGAATGTCAGGTAGTCAGTCATTTAGTAGGCTGAATTGCCCCTTCTTCGACATTTCCTTCTAGCCTTAGGCACTACTCATGACATCAAGTTGGAGAACTCTCGATTGTGGGTATCGGCCATTCCACACAGATATTCAGCAAATACTGGCAAAGCAAACATCGTTGAATGCAGCAGGAGGTGGATACTGAGCCGGATTGCAGATAGCGAGGTTATCTGGCGGTCGATTAGTACCGAATTGACTGGCCTTTAAAAGTGCCCCTACTTATTCCACCCAAGTAAGTGTACATTTCATAGTCCATCGAGGTGATTTGAGTTTCCACACTAATTTAATGAATTGGGGACAGGGTTCAGTCTATCCCTCTTCTCATCCATCAGGTCTGACTCATAGGGGATAAAATGACTGTTTCTTTGCTGTGAAGAAGGAAGGGTTGTTATTTTATTGGTGGAGAAGGGGGGTTATGTGAAGAAACTGCACGTGTCTTTATGGTAGCTTTCGAGGCGACGGCACGTGCTGATTTTTGCTCGAGTCTGGATGGCTTCTGTAGTAATGTGCGTCAATATGGCTGCTGCAGCTAAGTGGTGGATAAAACAAGTAAAAAAATGGAATTTCTATTTCATATCCTCTTTTCTCTCCTTGGACATTATATTTTAAGTGAAATTTTACAATTGCGAAAGATTCATAACTTTTGAATAATTCCACATCTTCCTGTTATTACCTATCCACTTTTGTCTTCTCCGTGGTTTTGCCCTATCTGAATGTAACTAACTTTAATCATACGAAAGGGCAATGCGAAGAGTAATTAACATTTCAGGTTACAGACAAGTTGGTTGAACTCGACCGGTGGACTAGCTGAATAAATCAGCAGAGCTTCTGATTTTCATTCACCAAAGTCGTAATTGTCCGAATGACATGAGTAACTGATTGACCTTGACCCTAATCCTAAAACAGAATCCAACTCCAGGGAGGATTAATTCGCGTCAAGTTTTTCAGCATTAGGAACGATGCGCCATGAGGCAGCAAAAAGTGCCGTCCAGAAATGACTGAAATAAATTATTCGACGCTGGTAAGGAATCACCCAGACTGATGCATCACATTTAAGGAGACTCTCTTGATAATGAGAAAGAATCACTTAGCGTTAGTGATTGAGAAAACAAGGCATGCATCACTTCATTCTTCAAGACTACACCTTGTCTCTGTGTGTGTTGCAAGTGATTGCTACGACCTGTTCATTTACTGAGGGCCAAATAAATAAGAATAAGGACTATGTGTCCCGATATTATAGGATAAATCTAAAAAGTATGCAAAAATCTCCCCTCTGCAGAAACTGTCAGGACTGATTTAACAGTCAAAAGAAGGTCTCATCCTTAGCTTTATAGGACGACGTGAGAGCTCGTATTGCACGCTATGAAGCACCGGAGATACAACCCCAGTCTAACGCTCATCCTCCATACTTACGTTCATTTTCTTTGAGTAGTTACTATCCCATCCATCTATTCGGCAGTCACATAATCATATACGATCGGGAATATACGGCTAATAGGGTGGACTAAAAGTGGATGTCGGAAGGCTTAGATTTGGTTCTCTACTTTGTAAAAGTGGGGTGGACATAATTCGGATTTTATCAGGTAGTATGCTACTCAACACGCATCAGTAGATCAAAAATTCAGTTGTTTCCTAAATTCATGTTTACATGTGGTTCAAGTTTATCCTTATGTGGGGGCTTGAATTCTCTACTCCTTTCATGATGATTCATATTAAATGCCCTGGTTAGTGTGTCTGCAGCCTCCAACAATATTAATTTACAGTTGCATATCGGTTTGTAACACGTCCGGAGCTTCCATTTGTCACCAAAATGGGTGTTTCATAAACAAGCTGAAATAGGGTGGAAATGAATTTTCGTTAGCCACCAATCACAGCCAAAAGGTTCTCCCTCACCCTTCGAAACCGAGAATTCTTTTTTCCTCTGTCTACAACGAACGGCCTCGATTGCATAAACCAGCACACATCTCAGAAGAAGTGCGCGCAATGTGCCGCCCTCTTTCAGCTTTTGCCTCACGGACATGCATACACATGCACGCAAGCTAATGCACACGCGCATGCACTTGCTCGACCAATGGCACGTCAGTCAACGCACCAACAGCAGGACGCTAGTGACCACTACTCGTGTGCCCATTGGTCAGCGTTAATTGCATGCGCATTCATACCCTCTGACCATTCGCGTGGCCCGTAGATGTGGCCTCTAGGTTGTTCCCCCTCTCGTCTTTTCCGTTTGGTGGGGCAATTAACTGGCAGCTGAGACGGAACCGCTCTTGCTAACCGGTGAGTCTCCCTCGGTCCCATTTTTGCATTATCAATCTTTCGGTTCACGCTTTTTTGCTAATTGCTTTCGTAAGATTTCAATTTCGGTAATTAGACTGCCCCCTTAATGACTAAAATTCTCTCAAAGACTACATGTCTCATTTAAAAAGTACTCACTGTAGAAACATTTTGACGATTCTAGATATTTTATTGAAGGAAAAATGCATGAATATTAGAACTGGGTTATGTCAAAACGAATGTATTTCAATTCCATGCAATTATTTTTTAATTTGGTTTAATTTTCAAACCGAGGAACTTCTTAAAATTTAAACCTTTTTAGGACTTTTTTGAGCAATCAAGTTGCCATTATTAATTACTGATTTAATCATGCTCTTCATCCTACTTAAATGTCCATTTCCTGTGATTCAAGGCTCTTTTTCCATGGTAAATTTTTTATCTGTCATCTAATCAGAAGCAAATGCAAATCTGATCTCGATGTTTTCAGTTTACTTCCCTACTGGTAGCCAGGTGTCAAAGTTTGTTAGCCCACATCTCTGTGCATTTTAGCTCTAAATTAAGAAGTTTGATAATGGGAAATGTTTAGTTATCTTTTGATAGTACGAACAGTTTCTATAAGTTGTCAAGGCTCTCCAAAGATAAAGCGTTGAATTTGTGTAATGTATTTACAAATTTCGATATTTCCCACTCATTTCTCCCGCTAAAAAGGAGCTTCTGTAATTCTTTGCTAAAATAGCAATTGTTCTAGTTGTGGCACTCAAGAGTTATTGAAAGATCCTCGGCACCTTGCTTAGTTCCCTGGCCTCTTTAAACATGCAAACGCCTTCACTATCTTCCCCCGATTTCGTCAGCTTATAATTTTTATCGCTTGTACTATGTTAATTTTTACAAATAGTGGCAAAACCAACCCCTGAGTTCATTTGCTCCCTATTAATAAAAAATGTGAGCAGTGAGATCCAATTTTATCTCCATAAGAGTTCTGTTTCAACGCGCCGCGGCAAAATTTTTCCATCGAATACGACATCACCTATTAGACTTTTTTAATCTACCCAAAAAAGGGGTTTAATCTTAACTTTTCCTTGTTGCCTCAGTTAGGTGGACTTTTGAGAGCTTGATTGACCAAGTAATTAGCCTCGGGGGCATTCCCCTTTTTCTCAGGTGCTCCCCCAACACCTGCCTCAATCCTTACCGGCATTAAGTAATCGTGAAAGCAGCCACGACAAAGGCGGACGAAACGCCTTTTGTGTTGTTCTTCCTTCCATACCTTTTTTCTTTCCTCTTTGCGCCCCATTATTCCACCAAATTGGTGGGTCAAGAGAGTCCTCAAAAGGCCTTCAATGCATTGCAAAGTATTAATCGGAAGTTTAAAAAAGCACCTAGTTCTGCCTATTTGGAAGTTGAAGACCTTTTGGCTTCTAGATTAGTATCATTATGCATTTCTATCATTTTTGGTTTAACAAGAGAATTCTTAACACCTCTTAGAGGAGTCTATTTAAGCATAAATTTAGGTTTCATTGAGAAGAAATGCATATTGCACTGTATTTGGACAAATAAAACGCTCATTCATTCCTTAGCTTAGGCAGCAAGACAGTCTATGTAAACTCCCCTGATCAACTGGGAAAGATAATAGGAAAAATAGGCGTTGGTGGCTGATTAAAACTAATTAACTGTAGCCATAATTTGGAAATTCACTTAACAAGACAGGTAGGGCGAATGAGAAGGATCCTTGACTTCCGCGCCAGCGGACGTTGACTCTCCACTTTTAAGTGGATCGATGGTCTCTGCGGAGCGAGAGCGAAAGCCATTGAGACGAGGAGGCTGTGATGGCTATCTGGACACGTAGTGTTCAAATACACTTGTCTATTCACTCAACCCCTCTCCCCCCACCAAGTGTGCTTGTTTGTACGTATGCAAGCGCAGCCACTGATAACATCACTGCTTCCCTCCCGGTGTGTGCTCTCACACCTGTCTCCTCCTCCTTCCTCCCTCCGAGTTTGGTGAGGAAGTGTGGGGGAGGGGTGTCGCCTTGTCCCTCCTTTCTGTTCCCCACTCTTCTTCCTCCCCACCCAGAGAAAGTTTGAGACCGCAGCAGCTGTAGCTATGCGAGAGGCTGTGGTTGAGACTGTAGAGACAGTTATCTCGTGTAGCATTTTGACGCTTGCCCCACTTTTCTGCAGCAGTGGCAGTGGCAATTAATTCCACGAATAGTGCTGTTGGTGAGTGAATGGCTTCAGCCACCTGCTCTCGGCAGCATTTAAACTACCACAGGATTGACTGGTTTGATGTAGTTTATAAGTTTTAAGAGACCTGTGGAATTAAATGCCTCTCCAGGAGATGACTTTTTCGAAACTATTCAACTTGAAACGGAATTACCAAGAGTGAAGGGTTGTCAGACATAGGAGCTGTCATTAGTAACGGTTGACTTTCCAAGAGTTCACGTTTCCCATAGCAGACTTGATTGTCCGACTACAGTTATTCGAGTCCTATCAGTTGTTACAGACACTGACTTGTGAAATAAAGGCATTGCATCTTCCACGTCCCACTCATTTTACCCTTAAGGCTAACGGATTAAGGAAAATTCGGCTCCTCAACATTATTTAGTATATAATGGCGATTTGTGGTCCACTGGCAGTCAAGCGTATAGCCAATTTCACGAAGGAAAAAATGTAGATGGTCATAGCTTTTATGTGGGGAGGTCACACTGAATCCCTTACGAAGACCACCTGCGGCCTTTAAAGGGGGAGTCGAGAGGCGACACCACTCTGGAATACCGCCATAAAAATACCGAACCGTTCATCTCCCTCTGTGGACTTTTCTGGGTATCATATACCCCCTTTCCAGCTTCAGCCCCCCTGCCCATGGCCACCTGTACATGTTTAGGCAGTGGAAGTCGGTATCATGACTTCATTGGGAAGATGACAGGACCAGTTTTTTCAATTGGCGGTCAGCTGACATTAATTACTCTGTACAAGATGTCTCTATCCTGCAATCGAGTCTTTCAATCGATCCTAAACAAAACGGATTCAATCCTTCCAGAGAGAAGTCCACTTGGCTAATCTCGAGGACATTCTTGCAAAGAACATGCAAAAAGTTGCTTAGATGCCAGCTTCATCCTCACATAACAAGACGATTTTCGTACTAGGAACTCATTCCAAGAAGTCAAAAAGTAGTGGTATTTACAATGACAAGTGTAACAGCGGATCTACATTGGTGTACTCTCGGTTTGCAGGATCTATTGCACCGTATTATGAACCGTTTTTATGTGATATCACAGTTTCACAGACTGCAAATTATTTTATGATTCATTCTTGTTCACTTCCTTTCTGTGCTTGCAAGTTGTAGCCGGTGGCAAGGCCTCAAAGAAGACTAAGTTATCCCACTATAGGTACTAGATACTCTCCTCTACTTGGAAGAGACTATGAATGGTGAAAATGTCTTTCTCTGAACTGAATCATAGTAGCAACTCAGTCTTCCACGCCTGCCAGTTAATTGAAGTTATTTGGGGAGATAATGACAACCAGAGGATTGAGGAAATTTGCATTACATGCTTGTTGATGCACTTAGTTCTACTTTTTATCCACTTGGCAGATGTAATAGCGGATCGTCAAATAGGTACATCATATGAAATCCATTATCGAATCCCGGCCGAATAGCAAATAAAGTGTATTAAAAGCTCAAATTTGACGCTATTTCAACGACATTTACCATCGGTTTTATGCAACACCCTCCTTTTAAAATTGACGAAAATCCCAAATTAAATGCCTTCCTCTATCGAAGTCACTGCTTAAGGCGACAATTTGACTAGACTGCGACCCCCTGCCTCACGTACGCGTGCTTGTCTATGCCTTCAAGCCGGGAATTGTTTACTTACGGCGGCGTCAAAACTGAAGGGGAGCAGAACCACTGAACCGTGGGGGAGGGGGAGAGTGGAAGGAGGGGAAGGAGACCCATATTGCGCACACATGCACATTAGTTCTTCCATCTGTCCATTAGTCGATAACCTTAGCCACATGCCAATCTTAACCTTCCTCCTCCCCTCTTCATCACTTCTCACCTAGAAGTTCATTCGCCCTATGCATGCCAAATCCAAGGGGGGCATTAATGGCAATTCAACCAGCTGTATAGATGGGTGGATAAAAGGCTAACCGCTACTCCATTATGAAGCTACTTTGGTCTCCGATCTCTTCCGCTTAAGCAGAAATTAGATCTTTTCAAACACAGAACTGCCAAATCTGGAAGCTATATTTATCAAAATACTTTATTGGCCTTAATGTACAGTTTCACACTGCTTTACACTTTAAAATTGCTTCCTCACAGATTTCCACCTCATTACAAGGTAATTAACTACTTATTGTTCCATTCCTTTTTAAAATAGGTCTACCTTGGGCTCAAACATCGCCGAGGTCATGACATCTCTGGGTGCATTTTCCGCGAAGAAGCTGATAGAGTAAGTTAGCCATTTTGTGCCCTCGTGGAATGAAAATCACTGCATTTCTTAGGTATTTTGTACCTCTTTAATGAAAAAAATAACCTTTTGGCATTCAGTAAGATGTGACTGATGGGCGTGTTGGTTACAATTCAGTGGGCAGTGAATATTTAACCTCATCAAGTAACTTTAAGACAACTAGTATACCACCGACTGCGTGTCAGTCTGTTGGCGAGGTACTTGTTGTTGGGTTTTCGTCCACCTCCCGCATGTGCTGAACCCACTCTCATCTCACCACATGTCAATTCAGCCTGATCCGAAATCGACCCCGAACCCATGGATGTTAGATTCTTGGTAAATTTCTTGTCAAGCATAAGGAATGATGCTCCGTAAGGCAATAGAAAGCGGCGTCCAGAAATGGCTTCAATAAATGATTTGAAGCTAAAAAAACCACTCGCAGATTAATGCATCACGCGCCTGAAGACTCTTCACCCTTGTTAATGACGAAGAATCATGTGGCGCTATTGATGGAGGGAAGATTTGGTGATTGAAATGTTAAGAGCGACCTCTGTCCATGTCCATCGTAGGATAGGAGGTAATAAAACAATTCAATCAAAGCCGCATTATGCGGAAAAAGAGGGGAAGTCGTGGTGCTCGCCAAGCGGGTAGGTAAGGTATGCCCTCCACTAAGATATGTGAGATGATTAGTTGTCAAGACTCAATTTGTTGTTCTTAAACTCCTTTTATGCAAATTTTATTTTCCTTACCGACTGCCTCCACAGAGTAAATTTCTTACCTCACAATGCGAAGGCACGCACCACTTCATCCCACAAGAGTACATCTTGTGTCTGTGTGTGCATTTCTGTGCCTCGGGGTGTGTGTGGTGTGGTTAACTCCAAACCAGGTGATTTACTAGGAGTTGTTCACTGTCAGAAGATCAAACAAGCATGGCAGAGTTCTATCCCTTCACTACAACTCGATAAAACAAGATAATACGCTGCTTTCATCAGTCATCGAATATCGTATAACCTACCCATGAGGCGACTTGAAGACAAACCTTAAGGTACTACGCCCTCTTACAGTTGGTAGACGGAGAGATGCCACCTTCTTCTCATCCTCTCATACTCTTCATCCCTCTTATTCTTCTCCAGGCTCGAGATAATGCCTGTTGCAAATTCCTGGTGCTGACAGTGGCATTTGATAATCGCATAAATGCAACGGACAGTTAGAGCATAAAAGTGGGAGGGGTCGAGTCTTAACTATTTGATTTTAAACCCAAAGAGCACTTGATAGAAGCGGAATTTACAGCAGACTTTTGTCACCTTGGTTAGGGGCGACAGACTATATACATCGTGATGATGAGCATTCCAATAAACGTAATGACCAGGACTTGTTTAGGTGTTGTAGTATGAACTCGTCTAGGATTTCGATAGACGCTCGTTTTCGTTTCAAAGCCTCGTCTGCCACTTTGTGGTGGTGCCTGTAATTGAGATCCACTGATCGGTTGGCTGAAAAACATTTGAGCCAGCCGAGGTCACCTAAATGAGAATGACCTCAGGCGGCCGATGCGCTCGTCCGAGTCCGAGTATTGATTCGGTGTTTCAATTAGTCGGTGGCTGACTCAACTGCGCCACAGATGACCGCGTCTGGTGACCGCGAAATGAGGTTGTGGCGTAGGAGGGTAGAGGCGCATACAAAGGTGCCACAACCACACTGGCGACGCACGTTCTTGCTCTCTCTCTCTCTCTTTTGGTTCACTATAGCGACTGGCCTGGAGCAGGTTGCTAACTGCGCAGTAGTGCAGCGCTAACAACGGCCGCGATAGCAACAGCTGCTGAGAAAACATGTGGTGAAAGGCGTTTACATGATCATTAGGTAGGGTATGTCCAATTTTGAGTCTCAAGTTTGTGCTATATCAAGTTAATTAGGTAGGTCAGGGGCTTCAGTCACCCGAAAGGATTATATTGTGTGGTTCAAAAGCAACCTTATGCCTTGCCTGACTTAAATTCATTGAACACGTTTCCCTCTCATCTCCGAGGGAGGGGAAATACTAGAGAGTAAAAACTTAAACTATGCCCCTTCTGTGGCCTCCAAGGCGTAGTCGTTCGATTTGTAATTAAGACGTGGCCAAAGGTGGAGAAGGAGAAAGTATTTCACTGCTATGTGACAGCCTAGCGCCTGACCACATAGCACTTGGGGGAGAGAAGCTCCAAACATTACTTTACCCTTAATTGCAACTCCCCAAGAAACTCTCTTTCTCGTATTCAGGTATTATATTGAGCCTTTCACAAGCCAAATACATCAAAAAATATAGGCAGACTCACATAAATAGCAGCATATCCTCGGTGAATTGAAGGTTGGAATAAAAAATCCCTCTAGCTAACTTTTATTAGAGTTATTCATGAGCTACCTGTAAGGAGGCCTATCAAGTGTCGCATCTCGTCACTGGTGGATTTATGCACTACACTCCCTCGCGGTGAAAGTGGTCCCATTCACCCCGTTTGCCATCGTTCTTTTTTCATCCTCAATTAAATCGGTAGGGTGATTCAACCACCCCGCTATGGAGCGAAAATGGTGGCACTTGAATCTGTGCAAAAAAAAAACTAAGTAACCCTGGAAGTAAACACTGCTTGTGAAAATAGTGTTGCTGCTTTTCAATGCAGTGCGATGGGAGTAGGGACGATGTGATTTATTGGAGCGAGAGGGACTCGGCTTCCAGATCAAGCTTAGAAGCAAACATCCAGGCCTAGACCTATCTCACTTTTACTGCCTCGACTGTCCGCTGTGTTTTGCATGAGCTCATGCGACTGTCAAATATTAATGTTAGTGACAAGGAAATGTGACAGGCAATATCTGGGGCTTAGAAAAGGATGAGGAAAATGAGGAGAATGGCAGGATGGGAAGGAGGTAGCATCTATTTCTTTCCTATCTTTTGAGTGGGTGTAGCACCTTGGAGTGCGGAAAGAGGTCTTCGCACAGGCCGGGAAAAGACATTTTAGGGATGGGATATTCTAAAGTCCAAACTTGACACTCAGGGCCGGCTTAATTTTAAAAGACAACAATGGACATCAAGCAATAGTTAACAAATACAGTAGAAGGGTTTTTTAGCCCAGGTGTTTTCAAGCATAAACAACCGCACGTAGGCTGCAAGTGGCAAGTACCATAAAAAAGTAATTTGCAAGTGAATGGATGGGTGGGTGGTCATGGGCTTGAAAGAGAGGGTGAGAGCAGGTCAGTGGTGTTTTTGCGCGTTGACCCTGAGGCTACTAGGGGTCCAAATAAGTTCATCCTTCCACCTGCATAGACACGTACAGCGAGTCTTCCTGGGTGGTCAGTGCCACTGGCTTACCATTTCTCTCCTTTCGGTTAGGCATCACGGCTGCATGAAGCCATCGCAACGCAAAAGCTCCTTCCTCACAGTGCGAGACTTGTTGGATACCAGCAGCGTAGACAGCAACGAATCCCCCTCCTCTACCTTCGCTACACCTACTGAAGAGTCGGCGTGCTCTCCTTCTACTGCAGCCGCTGTTAAACCTCACGGGGAACTCAAACTCGGCTCAACTTCACTTATAGATGATGCAAAGATCCCCTCCCCCATTCCACACACCTCCTGCCCAGTTCCTCTCTTTTATCCCGCCTACCTCAATTATAATTGCTTTAATATCCTAAAAGGGCCTGTTGAGATCGGAAAGAGAAGAGGTTCCGCCACACCGCCACCTCCGCCGCCACGGCCCTCGCAACAAATAAATTCCCTTCGCCGTGAGAGAGAACGTGAGCGGCGAAATGATACGTGTGAATTTTGTGGAAAAGTGTTTAAAAACTGTTCCAATTTAACGGTTCATCGACGCAGCCACACAGGCGAAAAGCCGTATAAGTGTGAGTTATGTAGCTACGCGTGTGCCCAATCCTCCAAGTTGACACGACACATGAAGACCCATGAAAAGGATGGAAGGCCGAGCCATCGATGTCGGTACTGTCAAACGCCATTTATTGTGCCCTCGACATTGGAAAAGCACATGAGGAGGTGCGGGGCAAGAGTACGGGGGGAATCGCGGTTTCTAACCTCGGCACAACCTCCACCGCAGGCTACTTTACCACCGCCGCCACCTCCGCCTCCTCCACCACAGCCACCAATTTCTCCGCAGGAGGCGTATGGACGGGCACTGTCAAATGCATTACCGAGCATCCTCCCGCCATGGTGCTACTCCCTTTTCTCGTCCCTCCCTCCCCATCCTTCTGCTCATCCGTCTACCCCGCCAGCGCCACAGTCAGGGTTATTACCGGGTCGGTATTGAGCCCAAAACCAGCCATCTTTTGGCGCTTGGCGACCACTTGGCACTACTTTCCGCCTCATCTCTTTCCTTTTAGTCCAGTCAGTTGTACAGCGATGTGGCATGCGGTTTCGAAATAAAATTGGCGTTATGCTTGATTCAGTGAGGTGTTGTTACCTTATTATTGTTTTTAGCCACAATATGATTGCAACAATTGTTGTCGTACCAAAACTTGCTGAATTTGGATGAGATCTATGGTTTTTTTCCCCGCTAATAGTCGACGTTTTGCAAGATTTTTAATAATGCCCTCTGAGTTGCGTCCATAATTCAACATTTTAATGATGCAACTATTTATCAATTTCTAGATAAAAGTAACACGAAGTCCCCACTGTCATAAAACCTTGCATAAAGCTGTGCACATGAAATTGCTAAATTGGTGAAATATTCACCATTTTCCATTAGTCGCAATAAAAGATGGGAAAAATGTTGCCACAGAGACTATTTATTCAAATCCCTTTTTATTGGAAGCATAAAGGGTGCTTTCCACCTCATACTCTCGTTGTCAATTAGGAAGGAGATAGTGCTCCGGTTAATACCGACGATTACAAGAGACGGTTGGACTTCACTCGCTTTGAACAAATGGCCTTCTCGTGGTTACACCACTACATGTTCAGCCAGTTTATGACACTCCAGTGAAAATGCATTTATTTAATGGTACGATTTTTTCGGTTCCTCTTAGTTCCCTCGCCTACTCCAAGAAATGACCTGTTTAGGCGAAGGGCCTCCCAGCCCCCCCGGTGCCACTCCTCCATACTGGTAGGATGGCTTGGGGAGCTCAAGTGTGGCTGAGTTCATTCACATGAACCCAACGGTAAATTTCTTGATAAATTAAATAACCTTTTTCGGTAGAAAGCAGAACGTTTATACCTCTGCAAGGAGAAGCAATCGTCTGAGTTCCGTCCATATAGTCAAGTTATAACCAGCTTGGAAAACGAGGTCAGTCTGGTACCGGTGCGTTTTTCAATTTTCAAGTTGACTGGTTTTTTGACGTGGGGTCAAAGTGAGTGGGTGAGTGGCTAGGTGCCAATGCCACGGATGATACCAGTTCATTTTTAGGTCAGCGCGAGAAGGATAAACACACCCCCAAAGACTAGCCTAATTACAATTCCGTATTTGTAGAAGTTCGGTCAAGTGGAAGCCTTCTAACCCTACATTCGTCAGAAGCGTTGTTTAGGGTATCATTTAAAAGCTACCAGAGGAAAAATGGGATTCGGTGCTCCGAGATCCATCAAGTGAGTGTAGTTTGGGGAAATTGGAGGCAAGATCTACGTTATAAGGTAATACAGTGTCCGGAAAGAAAGAAGTCTTGGTATTTGGACGAAAAATGTATTGCCGACGTACAGAAGGGCTAGGGGATACTGGCATGGCCTAGAGGTCGTATCATCCAGCGGGAGTGCAAAGACTGAGGCTTAACTTCCCCCGAAACCAAAATGTAGAGCTAAGTAAATAAGTTTTGCATATGTAGTGAACGATAAACAGACTAATTCAGAGCTAAGCGATAAAAGACTTTGGTAACAATATAAAATCCCAAAATGTATCAAGTGGCTCCCAATAATTTTTGACCTTGGAAATATTTGAGAGGACATTTGTCAGGAATGTTAGTCCATATCCCTCAACCAAAAGTCTGCGCTTGACCATTTCACGGATGAACTGCCTCAATGTCGCGGCAGCATGACAGCAGGTGGTGTGACCCGAGTTTTGCGTGTTAGGGACCGACAGAAGTTAATTGATACTCCCTACTAGCTTTTTACCCTCTCTCATTCGCATCTACCGATCCGAGATCGGTGGTTGTAGATGCCCCGCACTTTTGGAGGTGCATGAAAGTCCCTTTTTTACACCATTTGGTAATTTGTGGGAATTTAGGTAAAATGTAAAAACAAAGTGCAGAGAAGTCTTATTAGCGGGGATTTAAGCACCCTCTTTTATTCGTTATTCACAGTTTGGCAGTAGAGCAAGGAGAAATCATTATGAATTTAGCATAAACTATTTGCAAAAGTAAGGTCCACATAAACATTTCGCTTTGTCTAAAATTTTCCATCGAAACTACCTACTTCTGAATGTGTAAACACATTAAGTAGCCATCATCGCCCTGACAACAGAGGTGGTTGAATTGAGAACAGATATCACTTATGTAAAAGGCTTTCTCCACCATCATCGAGGCCATGCAGAGAAGGAGACGAAAAGCAGCAGATGGTAAAGGCGTAAAGAGTCGACACTTGAAAGTATCAACAACCAATCCCCGCTGTGGATCATTGGGGCCGTGCTATCCACTTTAACACATCTTGACAACGAAGTCACGTCTCAATGCGCAGAACCCCACCACCTGTAACAGCCTCGGCAACTCAAACGGCATCGCTTTTTTCTTGAAGGGTCCAGAGAGGGAGAAAGAGTACTGTCGATGCAAGTCAAAATGGCAAGAATCGAAGTAATGTCGCTTTGAAAGCTCATCATCCACGCACACCGTGCATGGTATTGAAGGCTATATTTACCGACTCACAGGGCTCGTAAAGTCGTCAGAGATAATTCCTGTGCCACATTGGCGGCATCGTTGATGAGCCCACAGGAGGGTACTAATATTCACGACTTCTTATCTAAATTTTGTGGATTTTAGTGCCACCTTGAGCGACCTTCGGATAAGACTTGGTTGCTGCCTTCAGTTTTAGCCCTCAGGTTCGACTCAGCCTTCCCATGACTAAGTGGATTGTGAGTATTTTGTGGCATAAACTTGCCCGTAGTGCAATTTGCAAATGGTAAACATGTGGCTTCGCAGTCAGTTCCCTCTCTTCTCCCGTTGGGGAGTAGCACATTAACCACAAAAGCGGAGAACAAATGTGAATAGTGGGAAGCATCAAAATTTACGTCCCCCCCTCCACCGACTCCATCCCCGCCTGGTAAAACTATTAGGAGCTTGCGCTGTCGTCCTCTTCACTAAAGCCACACACACATACACATTCGACTACATTCTCAACACCACCCACCCCCACCACTACCTCTACAAGCACCAAAACTCGAAGGTGTCGCGCAGCCCTATTCACTCTCTCCTGCCCTTCTGCCCCGCCGCCACTACACTCAGTTTAAGGGGCTTTTAGTGGCGAGTTGAGTAGACTCGGGTGAGGCGTGAATTCGTGAAGACGCTAGTTCTGATAGCCTGGTCCTCATGTTCTCCCCCTCCCCACCTCGCCACCCCGTGCATTTAGGCAGTGGCGACAGCAGCCGAGATTGTATGTGCGTGTGTGTGTGTGTGTGTGTTGTTTATACTCACGCACACGGAGGAGCGATTAGGGCCTGCTGATAATGAGTTGTTTTTAAGTGCGAGAATGCTCACATACCTCCCTCGGGGAAGGGACGCCTACTATTTTTCTCGCGCAATTACAGTTGAAGTCTTCATTCCAATGCCACACAAACATCCTGCTCGAAGTTGATACATTTATTCGCATTTTATCAAGTCGCCCTAGATGTTGAAAGGCGTTATGGAGGCATTTTTTGTAGCATAAGAACCGAATATTGAATTAGTGGTTTCTAGTCAGTAACAGATGGTTAGTTTATACGCTGGTGGGAGATGGAAACCATTATATTAGAATGGGGATCAAGGTGAGCGCCGGGAAGGACGCTCAAAAGATTGGAGGAGATATGCATTGTAATGATATTTGCTTAACTCTGCGCTTGATGACGCGGGAAATTAAGACCTTGTGGATTGTACATCTGGGCAGTGTCAATACCCTCTCATCTCTTATGTAGGTCAGCAGTCTACCTTCAGTCTCACTACAGAGACTTTTTACCACTTCAGAGAAGACTCGGAGCGCTGCATTGGCGGCAGAGGAAAGCGAACTCAAACCTTTGAGACAATCACTCAGATTTTTTATTGCACCAACTCCGTTGTGATAACCGATGCAATTGATAACCAAGGGGAGAGTCGAGAACAGCTAAAATATCATATCAGTCCAGGCTTTGACTCTGGGAGCGTTTTGTGGAAATGACTTCTTATTATGCACTTTAGTCTATCTTGAGGATGATTGAGGGCCCAAACTATTGTCACGAACTAGGGTGAGCTTTATACTTACAGTCATTGCTTTACATCCAGAAGGAGCACCTTTCTCTGATGTACAGTCAGATAAAAATTTTGACTTCGCGCTGCTTTTCACAGCTGATAAGAGTGCAAGGACTTCACCAGCTTTGCCTCCTTCACTTACCTGTTTAGAGATTGGGAGTTCTTAAGCAATTGCTATCTGCCAGGAGAGGGTGGACACACAAGCCAGCGGTTTTAACGCGGACTGGAAACAAAGAACAATTCAGCACGTGTCAGCCCAACGGATGTTTTTTACCACTGTTTTGCTTGACTCCTGTGGTAACACAACAGCGGCAGGGGTGAAGGTAGCCTAGGAAAGGAATGTGTTAGCAACAAGAAGGCTCTCCAACATCAAAAGGATCTTAGGTAGGAGATTGCTAATTACTTGGCTACTGAATGAAAACTATCCCATTTCAGAAATGATTGTTAGTTTTGTTATGTCATACAAGAAGGGAGGGCAAGCCGTAGGCGTAAGGCTTTACAATTTTCACCATCCCATCGCTTTTTGAACGTTGGCCAGTTGTGACAAAAAGTGGAGGTCGAAGGTCGTAAAAGATCAAAACGAATCAAGCAATATTTAAACTTCCAAGTTAGACATAAACTGGTTTTTATACTCCTCACTTATTCAACCTTACCTTGGCACCTTCATTCTACCTAGTTACGACCTCATCAATTACGCAATCCATCTTTCCGACTTTTTAAATTTTCGATATCATTCTGTTGTAAGCCATCTTTGAAGAGGTATAGAGCACAGACAAGTCTTGGCAACAAAACGATGAGGTGGATTCACTTCATGCTCTTTCAAATTATCATTAGGGGATGCTAGAGAATGCTGGATCATTGCAACAGTGATTGGCACTTAATCCACCGTTAGGGTATTTCAGTAGTATATGCATCT